AATGTCGTGCTGCTAATGTAGTTCTAAGGAATGAACATGAACATTTGCGGCCTCACATGTAGATATTTTTCAGTGCTAGAGATTCACAGGAGGTCTATACAAACAAAAATCTTACAGCAACAGTGCTCTTTGGCTCATACCGTTACCCCTATTTAACTGATGTGATAACTGAGGCAGAAACGTATTGAACTTTTTGTCCAAGGTCACACAGTGAGGTCAGGAATGGAGCTAAAGCAGACTCCAGCTCTTTCAGTTCACCACTTTGTTTTAAACCATCTAATCTCCCTTTGAGCTCTCTGGCGTTGATGCAAAAGTACAAAAGACTGTTAATACACTGTTACCCTTAAAACTGCAAATCCCCAATGTAAAAAGAATGTAGGTTAGGATCTAAAGCAAGGATACGAAAATCCCTTTTCAGCCCACTGGATGCAGAAGTATTGCAGCACGTCCCATCAGTTTAATAATATCTCACAGCAGAAGGTACTTGAGTCACTTTTAGCGTACTGCCAATCCTAACTAAAAGCTCTTAAGATTACTAAAAGTTACACAATCAGCCAGGAACATGTAGCTGATGTAGACTCCTGGAGTCACATGTTATAACCAACCTTTTCACTTGTGTATGAAGACAGTTCAAAAGAAAGATAAAAATAAAAAAATAAAGGCAATATATCTAATTTCTACAGCATTTTACAAGTGTCTTATGGATACTAAATAATCACCTCAACAATTCCATGACAAAATGTTACCCGCAGCTACTTCAACATAGAAGCTGCATGAAGAAGATGCGAATACTGAAGCTGTAGCTTCAGACCTAAGTAATAACAAAAGGCCTCCAAGTGCACCAAAGGCCAAAAATACACAAACACCAAATCAAATGAAACATTGATGCCAGCAAGCTCAAGCAGAGATGGGATTCCCTGGCCATCATCTCCCTGTTCTGAAGCTGAGGTTTTCCACGACAGCCTTTGCTTCCTGATCCATGTGAAACAATGTCAAATCAATGCAGAACAGTTTGTGGTTTTTTTTTTCTTACCACACTTAAACAAAACAGCTTTCTTGATAGTGCACACTGTGCTGCGTTCCCCATACCCCTCCAAGCATTTTAATTTCTTTACAATGATGAAGAAACATAGCTTCTTTTCTGTTCAACTTTGGTTGCAGTTAGCAAATCTTATTTCTAAGTAACAGTGTGTATCAAAAGTTCAAAAGGTTTGTGTTCTCCATTACTCTGATTTAATTAACTTCTAACTCCTCTTCCTAGCTTTCTAGAGCAGTTACCTCTTTGCCATAGGTGTAATTTTTTTTTTCTCTTGATGTCAGAACTGCAGCAGTAGAAACAGAGTGAAATAGCATCCAGCACAAAAAAACCCCGCAATTTAACAACCTGCATAACAAGACTTGATAGTATATATTGAAAAAGTCCTTAAATGATTCAGACACACCATGGAAAATCAGTGGAACTCAAAGTCATGTCAGAAATCCCATTCCTATTTGAAATTTAAATATCCAAATAAAAGGGCTCAGCTGCTCCTAGGATCTCAATATCTCAAACTTCCTAGCTTTGGGTGCACAGCAGAGGCTAGAAAAAGCTACAGTCTTGTGTGGAATTCAGAGATCTTTTTAAACAGTCCTTATTAACATTGTAAAGAAACAATATTTTCAAGATTGGCATCAGAATGGCCTGCTGGCCTTTTATAGGGGTGCTGCAACAGCAAGTAAAGCGTAAATACCTGTTTATTATAGTAGATGTGGAGAGAGCTTTCCGTTTCTAAGCCCTACCTGTTAGCCACAGAGGCAATGTGCGACAGAGAGAGTGAGGCGCAGGGCGACACCAAGAGCAAGTCACACGAGTAGCCTGGGACCTGGCTGTGAGGAACAGCTAAGCTACAGGCTGCAATCAGAAGACAAGAAAAACAAGCATCATGGCTGATCTGAAAGATTACAGAAAGGCCTCAGATGAGACCACCACCAACACAAAAAAAATCCAGCTGCACTCCAGGAGCTTAAGCCTAGTGGAATTAAAGATGCTGACAGTTCATCAAGAGTGCAATGACCCAGCCAGCCACTGACGAGAGAAGTGCCAGTGTACAACAAGAATGCAAGCAGCAGCAAGATCTGCAGAAAAGCATTTCTCCTAGTGCATATACTATCCACCAGAGACAAACGTTCTGCTAGCCTGCAACCTCTGACACTGAGCTCTTCCATCAAGCCACAGTAATTTTGAGAGTGAGCATGTCCAGCACAGCTCCTTACAGACAAGTATCTATCCCACTGCCTGCTTTCCAGATTTGATAGGCTGTCCGTACACTACTGCAAAGAGGCTCAAAACAGGTTTTTGGTTAGTAGTCTTCCCTACTACCACATGAGAGGTTCTAATGAAGTATTTATAAGCTGGTTTATAATGAAGGATATTTTTAGTAGAGAGCTTTACTGACCTGCAGTGCTAACAAAATATTACCCAGTTATAGAAAATAGCACAAAGTTCCATTTCATTTTTAGCATTGTACACTTGGTATAAATTGCTAGCTTATTAAAGTATAATCCTCAAAGTGGAACAACTCTAATTCTTTCTTCAGCCCTAAACATCAAGGGACTTGGACAAAACCAGACCTATTTCCAAATGACATCTTGCTTTGATTTGGGAAATTTTATATCACCTCTTTTTGGATGCCTTTTATTGAAGTGTACCCCAACTGCCTCCCTGCAAAACCAAGAAGAGACTGAAAGGGCTGTTAACATTCATACCCAGTTTAGATATCTGACTTGCCACAAAGTAATTATTACATTTGCTATGTATCTAAGATATAATTAACAGCACACGTGATTGGGAGAGATTCATTATATAAGTCAAATTCCAACACCTTTACTCACTTCCAACAGCACCTTGCTTTGAGAGCAATCACAGGTATTTCAATGGCACTACTTGCCAAATAGGGTACTATTTCACAAGAGCCAAAGTGACCCCATCAGGTACATTTTGTAATAAACTTGCTCTTCGCTTGTGTGTATAAACAAGCTGTACACACATCAGGATCTAGCATATAAATAAACAAACAAACAAGTTACAGAGAGAGCCAGATCTCTCAATGATAATGCGCTATTTGCATGACACTTAGATTTACTTTAAGCACTAGAATATCAAGTCCATAGTATCTTCATGGTCTGTATACAACCTTGCTAGATAATGAAACTGCCGTTATGGTTTCTGCTACCCCTATTTGAGGTAGATATTGTAACCACAAAGTTCAGTTGTGAGCTTCTCTGATGATTCCAGTTGGGAATGACAAAAGATCACTGAGATACCTTAGTTCCTTCTTCCTCAAGGACAAGCTACAAATGCTATCTGAAGAGACAGATAAGTTCCAGGCAAAGATCACTCTTGAGAGCAGCTGTAGTTACTGTACATATGCTTCATGTGCCTGAAGAATCAATTAATTTGCAGTTCTTATAGTAAACAGTAGACAGAAATATATAACACAGCTGCCTGTCTTCCAAACATACCATTAGTGTAACTGCTATGAAGTCAGTGTCCAAAACTCCACAGCCCCCTGCTTCCACTAGAAGCAGGCAGGTACTTATTTTCACTTCACAAGTCACACAGTTAACCATTAAAAGGGAAACACCAACAGCATAGGTAGGTCACTAGCAAGAGATCTGAGAGACAGGAATTTAGTTCCCTCCTTTGCTGTTTTCTCATGCTACCCAGAGAAGCCATCAGTTCATACATCCCTCAGTTCCTCAGCTCATCAACAGTTCCTTCGGTCACACATGTTGTATGGCTATGACAGAGCTTTTCATGTGATGTAGTAAGGGAAAATAGAGAAATTCCCCTTGTATAGGTACACTTGGCTTTAATAACCTAAAGCAGCTGTGATGTTTGCAAGCATATTTTGATTTCAATTTATCAGGCATTAAACAAGCAGAAACATGAAAAGGATGTAACAGGCCCAAATAAAACAACTGCGTCTTTGAAAGTTTTAAAGACCAGAAACCTTAAACATGGAATTTGAAACAAAACTGAAACCACCATATTGTGTCCATTACTACTGATACATCATCCTGCAGTGAAAACTAAGTCAGATAAACAGGTTATGCTCTGCTTACAAGATGCTAACCCAGCAGAGAAACATTTGAATGTTACCAAACAGAAGGGGGAAAAAAGGGTTTGGATAATGCCTTTAACTTGTGCTTTCTGTAATGGAAACTCTGGATCTGAAGAAAAATATATCCTGAACAACTTGTTCTCCCCTTCAAATATTAATCTGTGTGAATTTTTTTCCATGGAAACTGGTAAACCCACTCAATCTGCAACTAAAACATCAAATCATAACAAAAAAACCCATACAAACCCTGACCTCATTGCCTCCATCTTGATATTTCACCTCATGGCTCCTGTGTGGTATAGCAGCCTTCAATGTTTAACAAAAAAACTGCGAACTTTTTGAGACAGCACTTATGCTTGTCTCCATATTGCACACAGTATCACGCATATCCAATTAGTCACCTCAAGAAATGAAAAATAAAAGCTAGAAGCATTAGCATAGCAAACAGATATGAGAACTTTTACACCCTTTTTTGTTTGCTTCCTTCTAAAAACCAGTTACAGTTTCATCCTAGGAGAATACCAGACTGCAGTGGACTGACATTTGATTTACACTGGCATGCACAAGCAGTAACTATTTGTTCCAGGGCTCTGAAGCCTTGTGTTAAGAATATTTATGAATCTTTAACAGAGATTTTTTTGCCTAGGTAGCTTTGCTTTCACTTAAATACTATCACAGTATTTTATCATCTAGTTTAGGTAAGATCAGAAGAGTTGCTAGAGGATTTGCAAACTGGTCCACTAAGACTAGCATTTGACTTCCATAATAAGGCAATGCTTACATGTTTCCAAGGAATGCAGCAGGTATGTGGCAGCCATACCACACTGCAGTATTTTAATTCACATAGACAGCACATCAACTTTTTAAGCATTTCTTATCACTCAAGCAAGTACTTACAGGGTCAGCAGGACCACAGAAGTCTCTGAACACTTTTGGAGGCTCGGTTTGTATAATCTCCATTGCTATGCAAGGGCCTGAACACAGTTCTGTGACCATCTCCTGGAAGAGAAAAAAGACAGAAACAAACCTGAGCTTCTTTGGGCATTAGCAAGGGTTGCATTCCTCCCCGGAACTAGACTCAACCTTACAGGACAGGAACAATTAAGAAATACTGGTGCATTTAGGAAAGCAAAGACATGAAACAAAGATGACATTAGTATTCACAACAAAAGAAATGTTTTCCATTTTGCTACTCGGTTTAGAAGGTGGAGATTAAGGTAAATTGGATATTCAGCTTCAACAAGATACTGAATAGCATGCAACAGCATCCGCAATACTTGAAATTCTTTTGCGGGTGCATCCTTATTGATCTGGACCTGGATTTCACAGAATTATCCCATAACTTGTCAAACTAGACTGAATCAAGGGAACACTCTTTTCTGGGTATAAGCCTGAAAAAAAATCACACTATGTTCAGTCAGTTCCACAGGCAGCAATGTACTTTGCAGTGTTCCCTACAGGGAGCATAGTACACAGCCTATATTTGTTTCCAAATATACAGTCGTTTGATGGCTTTAAGTCATTAAAATGTCTCTTGGGCTTTTTGTCCTCACTGTCTTTTCCTCACATATTACTACAGAAGCTGAAACGCACAAGCCAACAGAACAGAACTGAAAGGGGCCTGTGGCACAACCTGTTAGGGAAAGGGTCCTTGATCTGGCGACGTTCTTGTGGTGTACTGTTACCAGAATCTCTGTTACACCGAAATAATCTGTTTCCCTGCAGCCTGCCAGAGAGTAAAGAGAAATCATGAGTTCTGAGTGGGTGATGAAGATGGGTCTTGGTTTTCATAAGCTTAAATTAACTCTGGGCATTAGTGCCAATTTGGAGTTTGTTAATTAGAGGTATAGGTTTCACAAGCAGAAAGAACCTATTTTGATGCTCTAGTCTGACTTCCTTTTTTAAAACATGCCCTTATAATTGCATACTTGTCTAGAAATTTGGGCAGACAAGTTTTAAACAAATCAGGACAATTAAAAGAATCAAAACCAATGAGGAAAGGGGAAAGGAGAAAACATTCACAGCAAATAAGGGAGGACAGGGAAGGACAAGCAAGGTACTGCAATCACGCCCACCAGCCATGGGCAGGTCACGGATGAGCCACGGCAAAGAACAAGAGCATACAGAGTGGACAAAAAAGCAGTAGGAAAGGAAGGATTAAGTCCCTCTCTGCCTTTTATGAATTGTGATGGAAACTAAATCCACAAAGGCTCCAAGTCAAGCAGCATTGTTCCAAAGAGTTGGTGTCTTCGTAATGGATTCCACACCGAGAGCATGTGCTCAATCTCCCCACTCTGAAGTCAACAGGACAGAATTTCAGTCAAGTGCCTCTATCATCAACCTGATCCTTAGGAAACACAGGTAGAAGTATTCCTGAGAGGACATGAAAAGAGTGTAGACTAGTTTCCTGCTCTACAACATGAATACATATTTTAATTTCAAAAACTGTCTTATCGCCAACGGATCCTCTGTTAAGAACAGGTCCAAGGGCAAGATATTTCATTCTGTTAAGAAACAGTTAATTGCCACAAAGCCACTACTCTGTACAATTTCAATGAATTCTGTCATCTAAATAACTGTTAACAGGAAAGTGGAGAAAAAACGGGCTTTTAACTTTAGTTGAATCAACTGAATTCCTCCCTGCAAACCATGGTGTTTCTTGCTTCTGCCTTTTCTATTGTTTCTGTGTCAGCACTGACATCCCACCAGCAACAGCAAACAGCGCAAGCAAAGCTACTCCTGACTCCTCCATTACAACGCAAAGCTGAGGACTGAAGGCCAGCTGCCATCAACTACAGCACAGAGGCACGTGGTACTACACGAGACAAGCTTGGTCCACCTTACACAGCCTCATCAAGCCCAGAGTTGAATTTAAATAGCAGACAGCATTTCTCTGGTAAGACTCCCAATTACAGCTAAATCAAATTTTCTTTAGCAAACAGTTTATTCATCAAATAATATGGCTTGTGGTCAACCAAAACTATTCCTGGAGCTGGATCAAGCTCAAGCATTTCTGATTAACAAAGTGGATTCTGAGCTGACCCAAAATAATATCCCTCCTTTTTTCCCCATTTTCTGTTCTGGCTACAGTAGGAAATACAAAGCAAAACAGCACAAAACCGAATCAATAGCATGCAAAATCCCATGCAGGAGATACCAACAAAGCTAAAATTTTGGGCAATTGTTCAGCTTTCTCTTTTCACAGAAAAGTGCTTTATATACAGTGTCAAACCTTTATCTGATTGATAAGGGGTAACCGGAAGAAACAGGAGTACAGTTTTTGAAAAGGATTTCTGGATGCCAAGTATCTTCTGTGCTAGGTTATTTTGGAATGATAAATAAAATTCAGATCAAAACAGACGGTTCTGAGTCACAGATATAAGAGGTCATATTCTTTCTTCACTATCCTATTTCGCAACATACTTCTTCCTGTTTGGCCTGCACTGACAATATCTATTGCTGTTCCCATATGTGCTTTCTCTGGATCCCTTTACCACCATGATTAGCTTTCCCACGTTTTCCTGTTTCACAGATATCCTGAGTGCACGGAGATATTAATTTCATTTCAACTGAGTGCATCCAGCACATATGGCTTGCAGGACAGAGCTCTAGATTCTCACTTTTCTTCAAATCCCATCTAAAACGTATCTTATTTATTGACTTACTCTGTTTAAATGCCACTTTCCCTTCTGAGTAACTCTCCAATTAAATCATATAACTAAAATTTGCAACTTATCAGGGGGTCAGAGATTGTACAAAAGAGCTGCAGAAGATGGTAGAGAACTTCCAATTTGATTCAAAGCAGAGACTTTTGCAGTACCACGGGATTCTTTGGGCCCTGAAATACCGGTCATATATTACCATATTTGAATTCTGCCACATACCTACAAGTCTGCCTGTCCAATCTTCCTTTGGTCCTTGTCAAAAGTGGTGTTATCAGAGGAGACTTTAAGAGTATTCCCCAATCTAAGAGCGAACTAAACAGTACTCCCAACCGATTTAAAGACAAATCTACAGACCCTGTTGAAGTAAGTTAGACTAAACAATCATAAAGGGGGGGAAGAAAGAAAGTACAAATGTCATTATCAGAGTAATATTAGTAACTGTCTGGAGTAATACTAGTAACTGTGTAGAAAACTTTTAATAATTTAACCATCTAAAAATTAAGGATAATTTGCATAGCATACAGCATGGCAGTGAAACTAAATTCATTACTATTTGTAAAATGAACCAAAATCCTCTGACAGAAGGTGATACAGAAATGCAAGCTCGTCGTCTTGTATTCCCATTGTTCTGCCTACAGTCAGGAAGTTTTATGTGACAGTACAACAAGGCATAATAATATACAGAGTCTCCGATGTCCACTGGGATTACAGCATATCTTAAACTTCTTATATTTTCTGAAGATCCACAAAAGTCAGATCAATAAACTTAAGAATAGCTCAAAATGTCATTAGGAAAGCATTCAAATACAGCAGCCCCATTGTAAACAAAATAAAAAAATACATATTCTGGTCCAAGCCACTACTGCAATATCAAATCAAACAAAGATACAGATGTGACACATTCTCATAGCTCTACTGCAATAAAATAAAATCTGAGGGGGGGTGGAGGGTGTTCACTTTGTTGTATTTTACAAATTCCTTGGCTGAACAATTTTCACAAAAGACTCTCCTTTCTTACAACATAGCACAATTTTCAAGATGAGTTAGTTCATCTGAGAACAAGGTATAACTGGTCAATACCAGGTTCCTAAAAGAAATCCTATCACAACCCCAAAAAAGGAAAGATGTGACTGCTTCCTTGTTTAATCATATTTTATTTTTAAAGAAATTCTTCTCAAACTTATGCTTACCACATATTCAGCGACGACACCTTTGTAAATCTCATAAAATTCTTCCACATTTGCACGCTCCATGTTGAACTAAGAAAACAAAAATGTTAGCCAGTCTGCCTTAAACAACAACAAAAAATAGACAGACACCCTTTCTTAACCAGCAAACATTCAGAATACTCTTTTAAGTTTTACTAGGTAAAAGGAATGGCTTTACAGCTGCAACATGATATTTGTCAACAACTTAGCCAATGATGCCACAGGCAACATAGCACACAGCATCTTCTTCCGCCTTAAATATGAGTAGACAATGTAGTGTTGGTTGATGCCGCTAAGACATGCAAGAGGATCTGTTTGGTGCATAGTAAAGAAAAAGGGCTATTCTTCATTTGTGGTGGGGATTTGAGTCATTGGGGGATTTCAGATCTCCAGACTTTCACAAAAATCAAAGGGCAGGACTTACAGGACTACTGTTGGGAACAATCCTTGTGCCAACTTCCTTTAACTGCTGAGAGTGATCAGGGTGTCAAAATCCTTTAAGTATCTTTAAAAACCTTCCCCTAAATTCTTACTAAGTATCTATTTAAAAAAAAATTGAAGAAGGATATTAACAACCATTTCTCTAATCTTAGCTAGTACTTTTTGTAAAGATATCTCAAATTGCTCCAGAAGAGACAGATATCATTATTCTCCTTCTAACTACAGGGAAACTGAGATACAGGAGGTAAAGTGTCTTGGCTCAAGGTCACCAAGCAACAAGAAACAGATCAGCTGATCAATCAAATAATAAAACACAAATAGCACAAGGACAGTGCTGATCCCAAAATATTGCTACACAGTCTGCGCAAGGGTTTTGTATTGCAGGAAAACACCTGTGCATGGTTGTGAAGCATATACAGGACTTCTCCAACTTCTGTTTATCAGAAAAACATCCACAAAAGGAAACCTACCATCTGCAAAGCTGAAATCTGAAATCCTTCCTTGATGATGGCTTTTATAATCTTTCCAGCTAGCCCTGAAGAAACACACAAAAGACAGTATTCAATTTTAAAAAGCAGAATTTACAACTGGAAGGTATTTATGCCAATATACCACTTATTTTCAAACCAAAAAAGCAGCATTTGCGTAACGCTGTGAGAGGAAGCAGAGAGCAGAGCTGAGTTCACATACTCTGTGTTCTACCTGAAATGACATGTTGATGATTTCAAACAACTAAATTCCATGCAGCTGTTGAAAAGAATCTCTACCAAAAAAAGGTAATTAGTGAAGCCTTTGCTTTTCTCAGATCAACTGCAAACCAGTTGCTTCAAGATCAAGATTTATATTTTTAATTAAGTTTGGGTCACAGGCTGCCTATCTTGCTGTTTTTACACAGTGTTCACCAGAGTGGGGGTCCCAATTTAAGCTAGAAAAAATGCAGGATGATAATAAATATTCCAAATAAACCAGCACAAAAGTTCATGTCTTATGGGAAAAACACATTAGTGCAAAATAACCTACTGCTTCTAAAGTTGTAAGTCACAAATATGTTATTGCTGATCATACTGCTCGCTTTATTCTCTCCAGAATGCATCCTCAAAGACTGAATGACATTGTAAAACAAAACACTAAACTTCGGAGAACAAGAACCACTGATTTTCCACTGAATGTGTCTTTTAGATTTGCCTATGCTTACAAGATCAGGCCATTTGAAAGATTATGTCAGCCAAGCACAGTACTCTGTGTGAGTGAATTTCATAGAATCACCGTTTTTATAGAATATAAATGCCTGTCCTCTAGTACAATTTTTGAGAAACTATGCATTTCTGGACATTTATTCAGAGCAGAATTAATCCTAGAAGAATACCCTGTAATGAATGACAACAGCAGGATTCGACTCTTGGTCATTAAATCCTTTTATTAACTAGTCTTTAAATTGCTGCATTTTTTAGCACTGCATGAATTTAGTAGATGAGAATAAAACATATCTGGTATCTAGGTCCTAGCATGCTCAAGACCTAAACTGTACAGTCTGCTAATACCTATGGCATAGGACTGGTGAGCTTCCTACCACATTAAAAGGTCAGTGGAAGCTCCGAGTAAATGAGATGGATGGTTGGAGGGCTTTCAAAAATTGTATTTACGAATTAAAATGAAAAAAAGCTGTCCCTGAAGTATCCCCCACTGTATTTTCACATTAAGGTTTATGTGGAAAAACCTTCCGCATATAAAACAGCGCATATTTCTTCAAAAAAATCTTCAAACTACTAAAGGGAAAACCTGAGATTTTGGTACGTGCTCAGTCCACGCAGCTCCTGGAGCTTGCAAAATGTGGAAACAAGCAAAGGCAGGTGTGCAGCTCCTGCCATCCCACTATACTGATACACCATGGTTCACTAGCACTGCTAAAAGTTCCTTCGTAACACTCCTGTGAAACCAGGAAAACAGATTTCCCCTTTTTCCAAGGTTAAAAAAAAAAAAAAAAAAATAATTGCAGCAGCAAAATGAAGGGACTTGGACAGGTTTGCCCAGGAAATGCAAGACCATGTTGGAGAGAGAAACCAGACCTCTAATTTCTTTTTGTCCACGCTGCTGGAAAGGCTGAGCAGCTCAGAGGCTTCCCCACACAGGTTCCAGAGAGGCAGCCAGCCTACAGTCTTGACTTCAGAGACGAATGGCCAGTTTTATAAAGAGATTAAGCGACTGGCTGGGGATCATTCAGGAAATAACTAAATGAATAAATAATCTGTGACAGCGCATAAACATTTCTTCATTCTCAATTTTCAGAGCCAATACTCCAGCCAACTGCTTCACAAGAAACCAACAAAGAGGGAAGAAAGGGCAGTGGCAGACAAATGGCAACCGCCACTTGCAGGGACAAGGCTCCCTTGGTATGAGAAAGCTGCTCTGCGTGACAGATCTCCATTTTACACTTCATCAGTCAAGAATGGGCCACTCGCATAGGCCTTCACAGCTGGCAAGAATCTAATTAAAATACTCATCAGGTATCAGGTTCTGGGGTATGATGGAGATCTGCTTTTTACAGAACTTTTGCCCTCGGCAGTTTTACGAGCTGCAAGCAAAATCCATGTTTTAGAGAAACAAAGGGGGACTCAAATATTCAGCTTTCTGGGCTGTTTCTCTACTGAAGTCAGTAAGATTTTTCTTCTCTGTAGAGAGGAGACAGGCTCCGTTAATGATAGAAATCAAAGTAGGAATGTATTTCACATAAAGGTCTTTAATACAACGTTCATTTAATAATTAACTGTGATAAACCTATCAAGATTTTCCTCTACATTGTATTCCTGAGTTCACTCTCACTCATCAGAGCAACAGAGCACCTTGTTGCTCCAAACAGATTGCCCACGACTGCAACACCCAAAAGGCTTAACCAAAGGAATTACTGTCACCATCGTACACAGATAGATGTCTTGCCAAAAAAATTCAAAGTGCCTTGAGGAAGAGGCATGAGATTTCATTTATGTTTGCAAAGCAGGATGTTAGCTCCACTTCCCAGACGTGGGAATTGAGGAACAAGAGGATAAGCGAGTTGCCAGTGGCAGCGCAGATCTACAAACCCAGTGACTTGGCCTCCCTTGTCCCAGTTTAGGCAACACAGGTATCACTTCTCCTAGGGACACTTCCCTTTCAGATTCAACCTGAACTGAAATAGAAACAAAAAGCATAGAGGCAATCCCCAAGCAACAGAAGAGTGGAAGCTCGAGGCTCAGCTTGGGATGTGTTTCAGGCTTTCAGCCACTCGCATGACTGAATTGGGACATGTCTTCTTTGCGAGCAGATAAGGCTGAGGATAAGAACAACTACTAATTAGATAGAGTGACATTTCAGCAGCTTTCAACAATTTGTTTTCAACTTTAAAATCCAGATCTGTAGTGAAAAAACAACTTTTTAAGGACCCTTCAAGCAGGGCCAGTGCATGTTTAAAATGTGATTACAGTAAGAACGCAAATCAAAGCTGCAGGTTAGGCACCAGTTATGAGAAATTTTCAGTCACAAAGCACAAAAGTATCACAAGAATTACTAAATACAACCAGGAGAATTTAGTACTAATCCTAACAAATATGAGAGTGAGAGAGAGAGTGAGTCTGCACACGCTTTATGTCTCCTAGGCAGCATTATGTTACTACGCATCTAATCAGGTCAGATAATCTTCCAACATATTTTAATCAGATAAAATGATAAGGCACCAAGACTTCATCAGTTACATTGATCTTCTACAATCTCTTGCTTTACAACACACAATATTTGAAAATTGTACTTCATTAAGAAGCAGAAAGTAGCAGGGAAGACATCAGACTGAAAAATATTACAACTGTTTGCAGAATTATGGATTAGAATAAAATAAAACAGTTCATGAAAGTCACTTTTAACCTAACTGCACTTTAATTAATGGGATGTAACAGCTGTGTTACCGGGACCTGCCAGTCTCAGTGCAGTATGAACCACCAGCCCTAGGACTAGGGATGTTACATTCTCTTCCCTTTGTTCTTGGCCTGTTTCCCAATTTAACCATTCCACCGTTAAAAGCTTATTAGGCAAGGCAGCAGACTGCCTTCAAAGCAAGTCAAGAACTAGCTTCCTCATCTCAACCTCTATATGTCATTTTTTAAAATTCTTTTCCAATAATTAAAAATAATTCCTCTGGAACAACAACAGTTTTCTGACAGGAATACACAAACTGCTGTGACTGATCAGATCAACGATGCACCTAATCCAATAACATACTTCTAGAAGTAACTGGTACCAGATGCTTAAAGTAGCACTAACTATAAGTAGCCATTTCATTTCATGTCTATTTTTGACATTTTAAAATGCAATTTTGCTTCATAGTATAATGAAATTATCTAATTCCTTATTGCCAAGTGTTAAGGTCCTGTCCCAAAACTCCAGAGAATCACGATCAGGCTTGACTCTGAGCAAAGTCCTTATTGAATTCCAAAAGAGGAAAAAGCAGGACTCAGAGCTGGGCTCTCCTGCAATGTATTTCAGTTGAAGTTCTCACTACTCTTTGTTTCGCAGTGTTGCAAAACACTGTGCAGTAGGAAGCTGACACGTCCTTCTCAAAAAGTGGCCTTCTTCCCATCAGTTGATCAACCTATCCTCTAAAGAACAAGGTTTATCTATCTTTTCTCTTGGAGAAGAGAGTTTTTTCTGCTTAGAAATAACGCAACTCTAGGCATTCTTACTATGCAACATAAATACACCGTTTCTAGACTCCCCGAAAGTTTGGCCGTAGTGATAATCTGCAGCTATTGATCTCCCAGCCTCGCTGTGCACTGTATGAAAAAGGATATCCAGTCATTTTTTTATTTGTGCTCTAGAGCACAGAGAGGGACAGAGGGTCTCCTGAGCAACACACACCAGACCGACAGAGAGGAGAAGGGGAACTCAAAAGCTACCCAGCCTAACCATTAAGGGGGAAAAATGACAAGTGGATGCAGACAGAACACAGAGAGGAACACATGAAGAGATTATGAGAGAATATTGTTCATAGTGATAAGACTCCAAGGCTTTCCGTCATTCCTCATTTCTCTCTAGGCACTGTATTAAAGAAGAACCTTAAGAAGTTTGAAGGGCAGCTTTACAGATATGTTTGGAGAACTCTATCAACACTGCAGCACTGGTGAAAATCTTTACAAACAATATTAATCTGAAAATACTAAAAGGGCGAAGACAAAAAGTACCACCACTGCTTTACTGGGGAACAGAAGTTGGCATTTTGATAGCACAAGAAAAATTATGCATACAGCCAGTAAATCTTAGGGGACCTTGAAACCAAAACGGCTGAGGGTTTAATGCTACTGAGAACAAGAACCAACAGAAAGATTCAAAGCGGGTGGAAGGTTCAAAGTATGAACAAGGCAGGACCACACTTGTGAATGCCAGACAGGACATTAACACACAAAATGATGAAAACCTGTAGCAAAAAAACCTGTTCTGGGAGTTCTTGCATGGGAACAGATGGGAAGAGTCCCACTTAAAATTCAGATACAAAAACCCATACAGAAATTCAAG